TCAGTTGACCGTATCGGTTACGCAACTAAATGTCAATCAAAGCTATTTACTAAATCAAACGACAATCAAACGTTAATTGTTCAAATATTAACGGAACACTCTCCGCCCCGATAAGGGCGTAGTCCTTATCCTAACTGAACTCAGTCTAACGTTCTTTAGTCGTATCCCTCTGCAGGACAGATCACTGCTATCTTGGTGACTGGTCGATTGTACTCCCCGGCTGATGTTTTCACTTTGACGTTTCGCACACAACCGTCCGTTCCAGGTTACACTTCTAGTACTATGCCGATACTCCAATTACCGCGGACAGCATTGTTATCAGCCATGACTACGACATCATCGACTCGTACATTACGGCGCTCTGTGTGCCATCTCTTCCTCGGAATGAGTGTCGGGAACACGTCTCTGGACCAGCGCTTCCCGAAAGAGTCCACGATACGTTGAATGAACTCTACCCTGTGCCGTGGATTCTTCGTCTCCTTGAACGGTCCCTGTGGTACTGTCGATGAAGCTTGTCCTAGCAGCATGTCGTTTGGGCACAGGTACGCACCGTCATCCGGGTCGTTAGAAATGTGACCGATCGGGCGTTGGTTGACGAGGTTACCGACTTCCATCAGACTGGTGTATAACTCGAACGGCGTTAACACTTGTTCACCTATGGCAGATTTCAGTGCCCTTTTGCACATCTTAACGAGAGACTCAACACAGCCATTCTGATGCGGAGCTGCAGGGGTAACAAACCTCCACTGGATTCCCTTTTCTGCACAAAACGTCTTCAGCTCGTCAACATCCCAACCTTCGATCATCTCTAGTAACTCTCTCTCTGCTCCAACCATCTGTGACCCGTTGTCACTCATCATGAGCGCTGGATGACCTCGACTGGAGAAAAATCTCCGCAAGACTTGCATGAACTCCATCGTAGATAAGTCCACGGCTAACTCTAAGTGGACTGCTCGAGTGTTCAGGCAGGTAAATATTACGCCATAGTGCTTCATCTGCTTGTTTCTTCCAATCTTAACATTGTAAGGTCCGAAGTAATCGCATGAAGTATAGTAGAATAGCGGGGTATGCGGAGCCAGACGTAGATCGGGCAGGTCAGCCATCAGTTGCTCCTCGGTCTTATGCGCCATTTCTCTGCAGATAACGCAACGGGATTTCACCGATTTGCTCAGCTTGTTGCCCTTCAGGATCCAGTACTGCTGTCTTATATTGGCGGTTGTAGTAACCACTCCTGGATGGCCGAATTGATGCATGTTCCGCGTTATCAAAAGGGATATCCAGTGTGTACTCGGGAGCAGGGCGGGGTGTTTCGTCTCGTAGGACACAATCGCTTTGTCCAGTCTTCCTCCAACCCTTATAATTCCCTTTTCGTCAGTGAAGGGACTCAGTGTCTTGAACTCGCCCTTTGCCATACGATCATGTAGGCTTTTCTGTGCATCTCTGATCCAGAACAATTCTGCTTGCAGGAGTTCCTCGGGGGTTAACGAACCCTGGCGCCCCTCTTGGGCGTGTTTCCTGAGACGTATTTTCCGGCCAATCTCCTTATACGTGCTGTGACTCTAATCAGTCTCCTCCAGCTGGAAAACGCTTGAGGGTCAATCGGATTTTCAGTTATCTTTACCTGACAAACCGCTTCTACTCGCCGGCGCTCCATGTGCTCTTCTGGTGGTGCCTGCACTGCGTCTGGCTGTGGCCAGAGTTCTTCCGGAAGTCGTAGAAACTCTGGTCCTTCACTCCATCTTCCCATCAAATCCTGAACGCTAATTCCTCTGGAAAGGTCGTCAGCCACGTTTACCTCTCCAGGAATATACCTCCACTGACTTGGTTCGGAATTACTTTGAATCTCTCCGACTCTTGCAGATACGAATGGCTTGAAGGCGCGTGAAGGACTTTTTATCCAAGCCAAGGTGATAGTGCTGTCTGTGAAAAATTGTACGGACTTGAACTGTATCCTAGACTCTTTCCGTATTGTCTTGGCGAGTCGGGAGGCGAGTACCGCAGCTTGCAGCTCGAGGCGCGGGACGGTCAGCTGTTTGAGGGGGACTACTCGTGACTTAGCAGCTACTAGTTTAACTTCATAAGTGCTGTCTGGATTCTTCTTCCTGATGTATGCGCAACACCCAAAAGCTTCGGTTGACGCATCTGAGAAGACGCACAGGAGTGGCGGCTCTACGGCTCCGGCTGTTAGAAGACACCTTTCAAATGTAACATTGCTAAGCTATTGCATTTCATCCAGGAGTTGCACCCACTTTGTCTTCACCTGTAGCGGTAAGTCATCGTCCCGGTCGAAACCCATTCTCCAGAGCTCTTGTATTCCAATTTTGGCGCGGATGGTGAGCGCAGCTGCTAATCCGATGGGGTCGTAAATCTTCGCTATGTTCCGTTAGCAACATTCTCTTTGTTAGCTTGATTTCCTCCATTCTTTGATGATCTGTCGCGGAGAGCTTCAGTAGGTCTGAACGGACTTTCAGTGAGATAGTGTCTGTCGCACTATTCCATGCTGTTCCTAAGACACTATCTTCTTCTCTAGAACTCGTTGTATGGAACACCTTCGTTTCTTCTTCGCTTGAATCCTCGTTAACGGGTGTCAATGGCTTGTTTGATTTCCAGTTTTTTTACACTGAAACCTCCCTTCTTTAAGATCTTGCCTAAATCTTCAGCTACCTTTCGAGTTTCTTGTACAGTGTCCTCTGAGTGGCAAATGTCATCCATGTATACGTCTTCCTTCAGCACCTTCGCTGCCTCGGGATACAGCTCTTCGCCTTCCTCTGCAGTTTTCCTTAAGGCAATTTGCGCCATAGCCGGTGCGGGTTTATCTCCGAATGTCAAAACCGTTTTTACATAGACATCTGGCGGTCTTTCAGTTTCCATGTTTCGCCATAGATAGCGATGAACATGTTGATCTGGTACTTCCGGTATTAGGACCCTGTGGTACATCTTGGACAAGTCTCCCATTAATGCACATTCTCTCTCCCTGAATCGCAGAATAACTCCAAACAAGTCATTCAACAAGTCCGGCCCTTTCATCCAGTAGTCATTGAGAACATGCCCTTGATAACTGGAAGAAGAATTGAAGACAATACGGATTAGGGTGCTTCGGTTTCCAGGGCGAACTATTTCATGGTGACTTATGTAATGCACAGGTCCCTGATAGCTTGTCCATTCGTCCTCTGTGAGCTTCCTGGCGAACCCCATTTCACACATCTCATTCATTTGCTTGTTGTACGCGGTAGCATGCTCAGGATTTTTCTGAAGTCGTCGCTCCGTAGCCTCCAGTCGTTTTGTTGCTACGGCCATGTTATCTGGGAGAAGCATCGGGTTCTTTTTCCAGGGGTATGGGACTAGCCACTGGTCTCCAATTTTCTTACATGAACTGCTAATAATCTCAGCTTCCTCTCTCTCAATTTGACTTAACTTGTCCGCGTCGCAGATGCAGGGTTTCACTTCTACCCCCATGACCTCGGTCTTCCAAAAATCGGTTAAATCCACTGGTGTTGCGTACGCCACGTGGTAGATTTGACTGGCTGCCTCGGTACCTGATGAATTGCCTCCGAACAGTACCCATCCTAGAGGTGTCTTTCTTGCTACTAGCTGTCCGGACTGCTTTGTTTTGCCTGTGTGTAACTGGGCGTGGTCGATGCCAATGAGCGGGTCAACCGGTCCCTTTCCGCGGCGAATCTTCTCGTTCTGTATACCGAGCTGCTTAGCAATTGGCCTTATCTGCACTGGTGTGGCATCGTCGCTGATATGTGTGATTCCGATTGTCTTCACAGAGTACGTGTTACCACGGTCGGGAATCCAAACTGGTACCTTGTAGACTTTAGTCGTAATCGTTTCCTCGTCTCCACCAACTTTCGTGATCGTTATGGAAGTGTCCCTTCCTTTCAAGCCTAACGAGGCAGCGGTTTCACTTCGAATCGGGCTGATCTGTGCTCCAGAGTACAACAAAATGTTCCCTTGCTTTTGCATTCCGCCTTGGCCTTGAAGTGTGGCGGTTACTACTGGTAAGATGATTCCAACGCTGTCAAGTGCAGCCGCTGCTGCGACGCCCACAGCTGCTGTTTTATGCAGGAGTGGGTGATGGTATGCCTGACATTCCTGGCCATTCTCCGACCTGACACATTTTTTGCGTCTACTGCAGTTAAACGCTCGATGATTCCTTCCGGCCTTTTTCAAGCAACTAAAACACGCGTGGTTATCTTTAATGGCTTTAATGCGATCATCAATGCTAAGTGATTGGAATTTGCGACATTGGTCTGGCCAGTGCGTCGAGACCCTGCAGATCCAACATTTATGCTTTTCTTGGCTATCCTCCTCTGTTTTAAAATGGTTGATCGACCGGTGGCTCGAATCACTTCTCACTGGCGCGATGGCGCGCATGCGTGACTTCATTTCAGATGTCATCCAGCTCAGTAGCCCTTGGAGAGTCGCTAGCTTCCCTTCCCGCTCGAGGTCTCGTGACCACACTTTCCTGTCGTCAGGGCCCATCTTACGCTCGATTATGGACAGCATATGGCTATTATCCATGTCTCCTGGCACGCCGAATTCCTTATGGTATTGTACAACCGCTGTACGAGGTGCACAAGATCGCAAAACCTCGCGTCTTCTCCGTCTTGTAGCGGTTTACACTTGCTGATGTCTTGCGTGACGCTATCCGACACAAAACACGGGTCTCCATAAATGGCGTCCAGATACTCCCACGCAGCGTCATAATCCGTCCCGATACCCTTGATGAGTTCGAGTGGTTTGTTACTTAAGTTTGCGCGAAGGAGAGTTATCGCGTCTCGCTTTGCATATCGCGTGTCGACAATATGTTTCCAATCTGAACGGGAAATGGCGTATTCCCTTACGTCCCCGGGGAATTTTGGAAGCTTGGGTTTTTCCAGTTTGAAATTGCATGTTAACTGTTCTCCTGTTTTGTTTTTAGCTTGTAAACCGTCCGTGACGCCTGTTTGCATTACAGTCTGGATGCTGTCAACACTGTCTTTATTAGCCTGGATGTTGCCAACACTGTCCTTATTACTGTTTGTCGCGTCGCCGCTTGGGCCTGAGGGTTAGCAGTCTGGATAACGTCACCGGCAGTGCCATGCTGCGTACCGCTCGTGCCAGGGGTCTTCTGGTTAATGTCACTGTTACTTCCATTACTTGTATTGGGCAAGGGTGTGTCGCTGGCAGGCATAACTGAAATTCCATCGCTTCCTGCTAAATCAATTGTTTCTTTATTCGAAGCCCGTTTCCCGTCGACTACGGCCTTCCCTTTCCCTTCACCAATCGTGTCTAAATAAATCTTAGCCCTGTATTCCACATGCATAAAGTTTTCCTGGCATTCTCCCAGCCATGCCTCTTCTTCTTCGAACTCGGGATCTTCGTCTATGAGTGCCGTGTAAGCTTCGTGTTTTAATACTAATTCATCGAAATTAGCTTGTAGTTTATTGAGCATCTCTCTTACCTTTTCCCTCGGGCGCTTGCCTTCGATAAGATTGTTGACCAGCTTTCCCGATCTTGTTAGTGTTGACTTGGCAGTCCCTTTGTTGATTTTTGCTGTTTTCTTCGCGGCTTCAAGACCTTCCGCCATTGTTTATCCGCGGGAACGCCTCCAGTTTGTCGAGAAATCGAATGTAATGGTTCCTTGAAACCAAGCAGGCAATCTAACCGGGTTACGCCAATCGTATAATTTATTCCAAGATTATTCGATCTAAAGA